CACCTAATTGTGCCTGAACTCTCTGTTACCTTTATGTTTTCTTCCTGTTTTTTTAAGGTCACTGTAGAACCCAGTGAAGCCCCCCTTTACCCCGCAGATGAGCTTTACGGGATAGTTGGAGATAACTTGAAACGTAACTTTGATGTCAGAGAGGTAATTGTCCGGCTCCTTGCAAAGCTGATCAAGTGAAGCGAGCTTAATGTTTCAGACTGCACTTGGGAAAAGATGAGCTTTGATATGATGATTTTTCTGTAAGGCGTTAAACTGTGTGAGCTGCACTCAGAATGTTGATTAGACATTACTTGATTCTGAACAGATTCCAAAGAAGATAGAATAGAATAAATAGTCACCTCCATTCTGATATCTAATCCTAGCCTACATTGATATGTATTTTAAAGGCTGAGGGGGAGCAGTGTTCAGGCTTTCAGTTGATTATGTCTGCTTGGCATCAATCACTTTATTTTTCTTCTCTGGCTGCTCCTGAGACTCTGGTGCTCAATGCAGACTCAGGAGCAAGAATTACTGTTAACTCAAGCAATGCCAGAGTGTTTGTGATGTAGAGCAGCATTGACAGCCTGTTTAGGTGTGGTGAACAACCAGCTGTGCCTTTTCCTTTACAAGAGTTTTCTTTCTTATCTGGAACAGGCAGCTCCTCGCAGCAAGTGGCTAAATCACTTTAATAAAGGAGGTTAAGATTTGTGACATTACTGGGCTGCTTCAGCTTCGTTTTCTGCATAATGGCTGTTTTTTTTCTGACGTTTCGTTCCACCACTCTACGATCTGACACATTTATTTGTTTGTAGGTCATTGCCAGAATTGTGGATGGCAGTAAATTTGATGAGTTCAAGGCATTTTATGGAGACACGCTGGTTACAGGTATATGGTCGAATATTGTTTTCCATTTCATTTGCTTCACCAGCCTCACCTTTTAATTTTAATCTCTGCCTCTGCAGGCTTCTCAAGAATATTTGGATACCCTGTTGGAATTATTGGCAATAACGGAGTTCTGTTTTCAGAGTCTGCTAAAAAGGTATTTAAAAAAAAAAAAATGGGTCTCACCTTGAAGTGAAGGTGATATAATGTTTAGACAACTCTGAAGAATGAAGAGTCCTGAAGTGGTTTGGGTTAGCTGCACAGATTTGCTGCTTCCAGTGATACCAGTTTGTTTCCTTTCTTGTGTTCTTTGCAGACTGTTCATACTCTAACGGCCAAGTTTCTTACACAAAGTAACCTAGCAGATTCCCTTTTTTCTGCCACCAAATCCTTGTAGTTATTGTAACGTTGCATTTTAAAACCTTAATTAAAATTCTGCACATTTCACTTAATTTGCAAACTAATTGGCTTTGAGCTGAGACAAACTTTACTTCAGGATAAACATGAGATGATGAGTCAAATCTGTTTTAATACACCTATATGTTTTTCCAGACATGTTTTGAATTAGATTACAGGCTTGACTTCTTTAAATCTATCTCTCTCTGTCTGGTCTCCTCACAACAGGCTCATATCATCAGTGTAATTACTGTCAAAATAGACCAACAGTGTTTTGTGGAGAAGCCATGCTTGGAGCGCATATTCGACCAAAAATCAATACAGGACCTGGTGTTCAAGATGCATTTATGAGACACACTGTCATCACTTTTAAACAGACCCTGGCTTCAATTATACAAGGTGTCGGGGAGGTTTAAAAGCATATCTGTTGAGTATTTTTACAGATAAGAAGTAAACCAGGCAGAAAGCTTACAACATAACAGACACAGATTAGTTTTTTTTCCTTTTCTTCCCCCCATCTAGGCAGCTTTTAATTCAAGGAAAGCTTCCTTAACAAAAGGAAGCCTGCAACAACAATAACCAAAATAAAGCTGCATTAGTGTTTGCTTTATGTACAAGCTCTCAGTTCTTTATTAAGTTATGTGAATAACAAACATGAAAATAACATGCACTCTCTTGTATCCATCCATCAATCTGTCCACCCATCCATCAATTATTCCTACCATCCATACATCGTTCTGGCTGTTGGTTCATTGTACCCCCCTGCTGATCCATCAATCAGAATGTCTGTCCATCCGTTATTCTATCAGTCTGTCTAACATACCGTCCATTCTGTGTTTAAAGACGAGAGCAAGAAAATCTGACTTGAAAACATGTATAAATCTTGATTATTGGACAATGTGATGCAGACAGGTCAATTTTTATCAGCTGCTGTTAAGATGATGCATTGAGATAATTCATTGCGTACGCACACATGCTTGGGTTGAGGGTTTTTTGATATGTACAATTATACTCAATGCGTCTTCTTATTTTAATGCTATATTGTTGTTGGTCCATTGAGATGCCAGGTCTGTTATCCTAATGTTATGAAGATGCACGGCTAAGATTTTACCTCTTGGCAGTTCTCTAGTGTGAGTAATAATGTTCAAAAACATTGATTTTTCTATTCAGGGAACACATTTCATCGAATTATGCTGCCAAAGAAACATTCCTTTGATTTTCCTTCAAAATATAACAGGTTGGTGCAAATTTGACTTCCTCTTTTGAAATGATGTTGATCTGCTGAGTAGCAAAGACAAACCACTCATTTTTTTTCCTTTAATATCCTGTTTTCCGCTTGTTTTTCAAAGGGTTCATGGTGGGAAGAGAGTATGAAGCTGGAGGTATTGCCAAAGATGGTGCTAAGATGGTCACTGCTGTGGCCTGCGCCAATGTGCCGAAGATTACAGTCATCATCGGCGGTTCCTACGGTGCAGGCAACTACGGCATGTGTGGAAGAGCGTACAGGTAGGGAGAAGTCTCTCCCTGTTGGGTCTGGAGATGTATTTCAGTAAAAAGAACAAAATGTTCCCTGCTTGATATTAATGATTTATATGGACAGTGCGTCATTTGCATAAAAATGGAAAAGCTCTTTTTTAAAGCTATTTTTTTATTGACAGTGATCTCTGAATCACCATAAGTAAGAAGGGATTAGCAGTCAGTTGTCTTTTCTTTTTTCTTTTGCTACAGCGCTCGTCCGTTCATTTTATGTTCACCATTATTTTAGTGTTTTGTAAAATATTTCAATGAAGTTATACCCAGCTGTTTCAGCACTGTGTCGGACTAAGAGAGACAATTTTTGACCTTTGCAATGGCATTCTTACTGCAGGCACCAGTGATTAAAAAAATACTTGGATAGCTGGACTTAATTTATTGATCTCATTTTATATCTAATTGATTTCTCTGAAAAATCATAAATTTTTCAGACATCAGACACAATCCATGTTTCATTGTAAAAACATTTTTGCTGCTAGCTGCAAAGATTAGATTTGTGTGACTCATTTAAAGTGTTTTCTTTGTGTGAGCCGTTGACCTGGTCTTACAGATCTTAGTTGAATCTGACCATTTCTCTTAGAAGAAATGGTGGGGGAAAAAATGTCCACGAAGAGGAAGAGATAGAAAAGAGATGCAAATAGATTTTTGTTTTGTTGATAAATTCAACTGAAAATATGTCTTATATTCTAGGTTCTTCAAAGTAGCCATATTTTGCTTTGATTGCTGCTTCGCACACTCTTGGCATTCTCTTGATGAGCTTCAAGAGGTAGTCACCTGAAATGGTCTTCCAACAGTCTTGAAGGAGTTCCCAGAGATGCTTAGCACTTGTTGGCCCTTTTGCCTTCACTCTGCGTTCCACCTCACCCCAAACCATCTCGATTGGGTTCAGGTACGGGGATTGTGGAGGCCAGGTCATGTGGCGCAGCACGCTATCACTCTCCTTCTTGGTCAAATAGCCCTTAGACAGCCTGGAGGTGTGTTTGGGGTCATTGTCCTGTTGAAAAATAAATGATGGTCCAACTACACGCAAACCGCATGGAATAGCATGCCGCTGCAAGATGCTGTGGTAGCCATGCTGGTTCAGTATGCCTTCAATTTTGAATAAATCCCCAACAGCGTCACCAGCAAAGCACCTCCACACCATCACACCTCCTCCCCCATGCTTCACGGTGGTAACCAGGCATGTAGAGTCCATCCGTTCACCTTATCTGCATCACACAAAGGCACGATGGTTGGAACCAAAGATCTCACATTTGGACTCATCAGACCAAAGCACAGATTTCCACTGGTCTAATGTCCATTCCTTGTGTTCTTTAGCCCAAACAAGTCTCTTCTGAATGGTGCCTGTCCTTAGCAGTGGTTTCCTTGCAGCTATTTTACCATGAAGGCCTGATTCACACAGTAACCTTCGATTTCTGAGGCTGGTTCATCTGACTTGGATGAACTTATCCTCTGCAGCAGAGGTGACTCTTGGTCTAACTTTCTTTGGGGCGGTCCTCATGTCATCCAGTTTCTTTGTAGCGCTGGTGTAGTGCTGGTGCGCTGGAGATAGGCACCAGCACCCCTCGCGACCCCACTCGGGTTAAGCGTGCTAGAAAATGGATGGATGGATGGATGAATGAGGCGTGTCCAAACTTTTGGTCCCCTCCTCCTTAAAATATTCGTACCAAGACTTTACAAGAAAAACAAAATAACTTCATTAATGAACTGCAAAAATGTCAGGATTCTGTATCTTCTAACATTTTAGAGTCCAATGAAACTGAAAATTAGAATACTTTGTAGTTTCCAACCAAAACATGATTTACTACTTGTGTCATTACTGTCACGATAACATCAGTTTGTCTTTAGAAATATAGAAGGCTTGTTTTGGTTTTGACTGTTTCTGGAAATGTTTTTACACATCACATGCACCCTATTGAAGGTATAGTGGAGGATTTCCGTGAATTTTTGAAAAGACCTGCCCTCTCCACTTAAAATAAAAAATGCACATGCACAACCTTGTATCCGCTTTAGAGAGGGAACGCTTATTAAACGTGTGCAAGAGCATGCACAAGCCCCTTTCTCCTCATGCATGCTCTGTTTAAAAATTACTGTTTGCATTGCTCATACAAGCTTGAGCGATGCAAGCAGCCGGGCGTACACTGTGCGATTTTCTTTTCAGTCGTTGCACGCAGCTACTGCTCACACTGTACGACTAAACACCACGTCGGACTCAGCTCCGCAATGAGATGGAGCTGCTCTGACTGGTCTATTTGGAAGCCAAACAAATAGAAGATGAATATGAAGCTCACTAGAGTGAAACACGCTCCTATGGCAATTTGTGCACTTTAGTGCTGAAAGCCCTAAAAAGAAAAGGCGACAATGTATTTGGAAAAAAGACATGGCTGAGCAAACGTGGCTACTACGATCTGTCAATTTTACAGACAGAACTGCATTTCACTCATTGCATCCCTGCCATGCTGCTGTGTTTACAGAAGAATCCTTGATTGCGCATGCGCACTGAGAAATTTGCCCTCGACGGTCTGGAGAAGATCGAACATGTTTGATTTTCTCCCTACCTCCCGATTCCTGATCGGGAGGTGGTCATGAGAGGCTGATCATCCCTCTTAACTAGGGCTGGGTACCGAACTTCGGTTCTTTTATGATACCGACC